ATGTTCTTTAAGCTCACTAGATTAATAAACCAATAATATACAATAACTTGATTCGTTTTCTAATAACATTGATTGGTAGATTGGGCAGACTACAACCTAACAGACTGTTTATAGCTTTGAGTAGAGTTTTTGAATCAAAATAAGCTGTAATATAGCTTCCAACAGTAAAAAAAGAACTGCAATGTATTTCCCCATGCATTATTTTTCTTTTGAATCAGGGTTTAGTAACAATGTGATTTATTTTATTAGTTTTACTGTCGGTTAAAAGCGAATTACACACTTTCTGTAGTTAATTACCGTATTAAAGATTGCATCAGCAACAGATCTAACAGGAACAATATGTTCAATGTAACCTACTTCTGAACTAATCTGATGCTATTATGGTAAAGGTTTATTAGTTACTACAATCCTCTTGTTATGCATATTTTTAATGTGGCATTAGTTATTACAATCCTCTTATTATACATATTTTAGTCTAGAATTAGTTACTACAATCCCCTTGTTGTGCATATTTTTAATGTGGCATTAGTTATTACAATCCTCTTATTATAAATATTTTAGTCTAGAATGAGTTACTACAATCCCCTTGTTGTGCATATTTTTAATGTGGCATTAGTTATTACAATCCTCTTATTATAAATATTTTTGTCTAGAATTAGTTACTACAATCCCCATCACATGCATATTTTTAGTGGAGCATTAATTACTACAATCCCCTTGTTATGCATATTTTTAGTGAAGCATTAATTACTACAATCCCCAACTTATGTAGATTTTTAGTGTAGCCGTAGTTACTACAATCCCCATCTTATGTATATTTTTAGTGTAGCATTAATTACTACAATCCCCTTGTTATGCATATTTTTAGTGAAGCACTAATTACTACAATCCCCTTGTTATGCATATTTTTAGTGAAGCATTAATTACTACAATCCCCAACTTATGTAGATTTTTAGTGTAGCCGTAGTTACTACAATCCCCATCTTATGTATATTTTTTAGTGTAGCCTCTTTCTTGATAATTCACATTAGTTTTTCAGCTGTTTCTCTTGAGTCACATTCAAGGTTAAACCTTGTTTAAGTCATCTATTATCAATAGTTTATTATTTCATTATGGTAAGTTACTGCTTAGCTTTAAATTGTTCAATATGCTAAGAAGTGCTGATTTTATAGGTCTTTACAAAATAACCAAGTTAATATCCTTAGCATATTATGATTTTATAGGTCTTTACAAAATAACCAAGTTAATATCCAACACTTCTTAGCATATTATGAAGTGTTGGATATTAACTCGGTTCTTTTGTTAAAGACCTATAAAATCATAATATGCTAACAAGTGTTGGATATTAACTCGGTTCTTTTGTAAAGACCTATAAAATCATTAATACCATCACTAATTTTACTCAAAATCTTTTTTTTTTGTCCGAAGGAACGTACATATAAAAACAAGACTAGGTTATTTAAGATAGGTTCTTCAACTTAGATCTTAGTTATATAAACTATAAAAATTACATACGAGGACATTTCTTTTTATCTTCACATTCCTTCTCGGTACACGTGGGACATTCGCAGCCTCCCTCTTTGCTACATTTGCATTCTTCTCCACATGTGCACTTGTCTAACAACAACAGGAAAAAATAAAATAAATAAATAAGCTACATTTGCATTCTTCTCCACATGTGCACTTGTCTAACAACAACAGCAAAAAATAAAATAAATAAATAAGCTACATTTGCATTATTCTCCACATGTGCACTTGTCTAAGAACAACACAAAAAATAAAATAAATAAATAGAAACACGATGGCGACTTAATTGCAAAACCAAAAATAATCTCGTGTTTAGGAGAGTTTCGAAACGAATATTTTGTTTGCGTTCACGTATAAAATCTGTTAGTTTGTAATTAAGCACAAAGCTACGCAATGGGCTATTTGTGCTCTGCCCACCACGGGTATCGAAACCCGGATTCTAGCGTTGTAAGTCCGTAGGCATGCCGCTGTGCCACTGGGGGGCATATAAAATCCACGTAAATCATATAACAAAAACATTACGCGCGCACACACACACAAACACGCACATATAATGTGAAACCTGAAATGATAAATATGAAAATCATTATATGTATTAGTGTCTATAGCAGCTTTCTTGCGCTTTCAAAAAATGGTACCGAACAAATTCATATGAAAGGGTAAGCAATATTGTACACATTAAGATTCGCAGCTTATATCAAGAATTGTGGTGAGCTTTGGTGTCATTTATACAGGATGGTGATAAAGAACGTATGAAAATGCATATTACTTATCAGATGGTGGCATGGTACTCAGTAAAACTTTTAGATGACCGCTTAGTATTGTGATTTTTAATCATTTTCACATAAAACAAATTATGATCACTTTCCACAGTAGTAATCGAATACCAGTATAGGTATTATTATTATTTTAATAACGAGAGAGAGATGCAACAGAGTAATGATAACAAGATTTAAACGTGGCACTTACCACCACACTGGCAATCGGGATCGGGCATGATGAGACTGTCTGGATAAAAGTTTAGACTAACGAAATACTTCTCTAAATATAACACAGCTCTGAGAGAATTTCGAAGTATGCGCTTTTAACGGGAGTTTTGTGTATATAATTTTCGGGCAGTGTGAAGATGTGTGCCGTGTGCTACAGTTTATCCAATGAACGAGCATTTAGAATACCACACTCGGGCCAATTATGGCGTAACAAAATGAGCGCGCCAAGGACATTTGTATGAGAAACCCTGCACTTCGGGACATGAGATCAACCACGTGGAGGTGATAACATGCTCCACACATGTATACTCAGGGCGTTTTCACACAGACATGCGCATGCGTAAACAAACTTTTATACAAAGGCACTTACTTGTACAGAAGTTTATGGAAGGAAGATAATCCTAAACCAACTGAATTACCTGCTAAAAATGTGCGGTTGAGGCCCTGCAAAAAAAAACCATGTATGAAATTTTCAAATTTAGGTTCTACTCGTTCTGCACATAGGCAATTTATGAAATATTCAGATCATTCCGTATTTTAGACAGAAACAAGGGAGTTACACTAGCGAATTCTGCTTGAAAAAGTTATTTAGAATGAATACAATCACTGTATATTTACGATATTTGAATTTATACACTGCTCGTATTATATAGTCTTCTTCAAGTTATTGGTACCATGATACCAAACTACACATTGTGAAATATTGTGTACAGGCCAAACGGATCCAGTTAGGCAACATTGATTATTTCATTAGGGGACACTACATAGACTGAAATGTGTCTTAGTTATTTTAAACGTGTAAGTGTGTATGTGTGTTCATCATAATTGGGATAAATTTTCTATTAATTTTAATCAGAATATTCTAATGCTAATTCCCAATCATTGTATCATTTCAATCTGTATTTTGCTAGAAATACGAGCATTTATCTGTTCGAGGTGTCTTGTTCAGCTTAAGCTTGGAAGTCAGGGTGATTATATAGTGTGGTGATATTAGTGTAATATGACATTGAATCTGTAACTTCTGTCACATTTCTTCTGCTTGTAGTCTTGTACTAGTTGAGTGTAGTTGTGATAACTAACTCCATACTATTGAAATCATGGTGGAGCTATACTACGTTCTCAATGTGGAGAAGAACTGTTCACAGTTGGAACACGCATTGTAAAAACAATGATGATACTTCTTCGGTCAGGTGAAGCAGGCGAAGGCTACAGATCAAATGCACAAGCTGCGAGAATTTTGGCGTTATTGTGTTAATTAAACACAATAATTTATACAAAGTTACTCACAAAAGTGTGTGAACAAACTGAAGGTCTGCATGGACACTTTGAGATGGTTGTACAATGGAGTAACAAACTTAAGAGAACAAAAGCTCATAAAGATAAACTGTTGAACTCAGCAAATGGTGTGGTACCTTCTTTGATATTCTAGCAAATGATGAATCTTACTGGCGTTAAAATGAACTTCTATCAAGGCCAGAAATTATACAAGGAAAAGGGAAAAATAGCAAGCCCTCTGTTGATCAGAAATGGCAACAGTATAGCCAATAGAATGGGGAGAGCGACGTCAAGAGAACGTGATGCCAAGAAACTACATCTAAGAAAGAGCTTACCAGTACTTTGGAGATTCAAAATGTAAACCAAGAAGCTGTAAGTTAGCCTTGAAATGTATTAAACAACCCTTGAAATTTCATCGTTTAACTTATATGATTTAAATTCGAATTTTTTCAAATTTTAAAAAATACATCGAAATGTAATATGATTTATTTTTGAGAAACTTCTCATATTTCTTTAAAACACGTATGAATAAAACGCTCATATAAACAGTTTGGCTGTTATTAGTTTTAAATAATAAACTACAATTACGTATGAAGAATTTGCAGTTTGTTTGTTTTTTTTTCATGAAGAAAAAGATGTAGAACTATCATCTCAATAAGAGTATCAATCATCAGATGAGAAAGGAAATTGAAAAAAAAATGTACCTGAGGTTAACACTGAAGTTAACACAGCTAAGTAGAAGCATATACGACTAACTGAGTGAAATATATGATAAGAAGTATATGACGTTTTTTACAAACTCAAATCAAGATATCACGTATCAGATCCTCGGGCTACAGCTGCTATCAAATGACTTGTTTGGAAGGAATTTCAAATTTTTTGATGAGTGTGAACAAATTGATAATGATACTCTACCAACACCTAAGAGCGTACGCACCATTGACAAGACTCTGTCAACGATGACACTAGCAGAGATAGCAAATGAAATTAAATGTTCTTATAGCAAAGTAAGAATAGTATATACTTTTGATGGTTGAACAAAAACAGGGCGCAAGAAGATTAGTGGTTTAAGGAGCCACAATAAGTGGTAAACGTAGGCCATTGTCAGTCCATACTGAAACACATGAGAATTTGATTAATTTGAATGTAACGACTTTTGAGATGATGGATAAATCCTTTGGAACCAAGGACTTATTTTCAAAATGAAATTTTATTCCAACAGACCAAACATCGTACATCTTTCAGATTGAGGATCTCATATATGAGAAACTAGATAATGAGGAGGAGAAGAGAAACATATTTTGTCTCTTCTGTAATCTGCATCATTCTCTCATGTTTCTGTGAAAGTTAATCACATTTTGGTCTGACATTGAAACAAAGGTTGGACATGGAAAGAATTCAAGCTGTCTTTCTAGTTGGCACGGTCAATAGCAAGGACAGTATCACAGAGCAGATGGTGCACCAAAATCATCAGTCATGACTATGACCACAAACCATGGAACTACGCTGTTCAGTTGATATGCACATTGCCCCAGAGAAGAACATGTCAGTTTCTCTAAAAGATCAATGTTTTGACCCCCTCACTCTTTGTTGTGCCACCTTTCTCCGCTACTATCATGATCCTGAAGACTTTCCGAATGAAATGACACACGAACTAACTTAATAACATTTCCAGATCTTTCACAGAGGTGTAATTTATGCCTATCCTTCTCACCCTAGGTGCACTAATGGGAATTTAACTTATCAATCATTTCTTGTGAATGATAATGTCTGACGATACAATCTACACCGTATTGATTCCTACATTCCAAAAACTTCACGTTGGCTTCAAAAACATGGAAATGACCAGTCTCACTCGACATTCACGCCTGCTGCTCCATCTCAAAGGAGCTGTTTGAAGAATCCCGTACAGCCATGTATCATGTAATTATTTACTGCATATGTCGAACAATGCTCGCCTGACCTAGTCTTACTGTGTAATACTGGATAATGAATCTGAGCAACAAAAGGGCCACATCTTTGGCTTTAGAGATAGGTTCACAGGTCATCCTGATTACTATTGGACAGAGACTTGTTCCCATCGGAACAGCTTTAAGGTGTTCTTGTCAACAACCTTGCAGAGAAAGGTTCATTGGCTTCATAAACTATTAACTAAGGGTACGTGGCGCCCATCAACTGCACCTGGCTCCAGAGGTACTTTTGAAACATAAAAATGCTGACCTCACTGAGGAATATCCTTCAAACAATTTAACAATTTCAAGAAGGTTACAGCATACTTGAAAGACACCAGGCCGCAACGAAACAAAATGCAAATAGAATTAGCAAAAGACAGATTGGGCATAAAGGAAATGGATAACATCAACATTGAGCGGGTAAAAAACAAAGACCTTGAACAAGTCAAGATCCTTGGTGGTCCCTTCTCCAAGCCAGCCAGGTTGACCTGTTTCTTGCTTCAAAAAAAAAAAAAGAGGGGAGGAGAGAGAAGTCGCAAAGATAAAACGTATGTGGAGATACGATTTTCAAAATAAACAAGAAAACACATCCACGATTTGCAAAATAAACAAGAAAACACATCCACGATTTGCAAAATAAACAACAAAACACATCCACGATTGGCAAAATAAATAACAAAACACATCCACGATTTGCAAAATAAACAACAAAACACATCCTAAACATCAGAAATATTTATTTACTACGAAACCATCAAAGGATTTTTTTTTTATTCCTGTAAACTCCCAGTGGAGCATAGCGCCGTAACAACACCTCGCC